TACCGTGCTCCAGAAGGTGATATTTAGAGCTAATTGGAGCTACAGTGTTGACATATGGAGCCTTGGCATTTTAGTATGACCTCAAAAGATTCTTTGGCCCTTCCGAGGTTGTTACTGATTTTACGATAGATTTGGAAATTGGTGGAAGGAAAATCGCTTTTCCATGAAGTTCAAAAGTCAGTGCCCTTTCGGGAATCAATGTATCTTGGCCGCATCATCTCCATACTGGGCCCCGCGCCGGTGGATGTTCTTGGTCGGGGACAAAGGAGTAATTGGTATTTTGATGCGGGAGGTAACTTGGCAACTCCTTTAGTCTAAATGATCATCCAGTTGATGGCATTAATATTTAGGTGAATTCAAGTGGCCGCATTATGTGAAAACCGAGGCGCTGGAGGACATCTTGCTTTACGTGTATGGGGACGAGAGGAATGAGTTCCTGGACTTTATGAGGAGTATGCTCGTCTGGAGGCCAGAACATCGAAGCAGCGCCAGAGAACTACTTGACCATCCGTGGCTCAAACCGGCTTCACGACGTCGAAAGAAGAATCCATGATTGTTACTAGTGCTGGACTTCTGTGGCTCTAAGCTATCCAAAACAAGCGAGTTTTCAGAATGTCGAGATTAAACAACACTAATAAGAGGTTTTGATTTTGAACGGGGACAAGGGAGCATATTATTATAGCCAATATTTCTAATAATCAGTTATCACTCTGTACAATTAATGAAGAAGGGTTGCCGCTTGCTCAAACAGAGCCCAATAAGTGATCCTGCGGACTCTGTAGTTGACGTGCTGTTAAGCACCATTACATTGAACCTATACTCAGTTATAAGCAGATTTCAACCAAAAGTCTTTGCTTGTCGCTGTGGCATCATCCATCATTTGGTCAACTCGCGCAGTCAACCAAGTCTCCCTTTTTACCCTCCACACAATCAACGAGTTCCCAATATGATTCAGCACGATGATCCACTGCCTGCTCCTCCTTCAGAGTACAGGCCTTATCATACTTGTTGGAACTTCTTCCTGAACCTGAAGCACAAATATTGCTCTTCCTTGGGGTGCTGGAACAACCATGCGCCCCGTATCAAGTTCCTACAAGTGCTGGGGAATGGTGGCCAAGCCGTAATCCTGAAAGTGCAGATTGATGGCAAGATTTATGTTTTAAAGCTGGTATGCCAACTCTTGCTCTATATCTTGGTCACTGATGCTGATAGACTCATAGTATCATTTCCTGCGGCCAGTTTGCCCTAGAAGCAAATTTGAATTATTTGCTACAACTATCGACCCTTTCTTTGTTGAATGTCAAGCTTATGATCTGATGATCAAGGCCAATTTGAATGGTTTGCTGGGTCCATTTTGCCATGGGTGGCTTACAGTTGATAAAGACCAGGAGAGACAAGTCAACAAAATGCTTCATGGCAGTTTTTCCTGGAATCGCAGACAAGACACTGGTTCAGAGCCTATCCATGGCATTTTACTTGAATTGCCCACGGCGATTTCAAAGCTTCAAACATAATGGTCTCAAATGGCCAAGGTTACCTAATCGACTTTGGTGCTTCCAAGCTGTGCCCAAATCGCTACTTATCTCGAGAGCGTCTCGAGAAATGGAAGCAGGATGAAGTCAATAGCCTTGAGTATTATCTATTTCGACTCCAGTCTGTGAGTATTGTATTGTCCAACCCTGCTTTCACCCGTGGCTAATCCTAACATTGCATTTGCAGCTCAAGCGCTTCCAGGGTATTCAACTCACTTCTGCTACCACCGCCGAAGAAGCATACGGCGGTGAGCTTAACGAATGGAAAGAGAGGGAGTTTTCTAAATGAGTCCTAGGTCTCATGGGATCAGAAAGTGCCTGTTCCCACTTTGCATTCTGCGTGTTGCGTCGTTTCTATGTACCATACCCCTGTTCCTGATTCTTGTTGTGACTCCCCTAATTCCTACTCTGATTATTTCTTGGGGCATTCTCTTGCCGTGTGGCCCTTCCGACTGCATCGAAAGCACTTCCCTTCCTTATTTAAAGCCTACAATTTCTGGAATTTTGGCTCTGGTTGGATTGAGTACTGCTAGAATTATTAGTTCGCGGATATGTTTTCCCTAGTTAGTCTAAACACTTGTTCAGAGCCTACTCTTTAGATTCAAAGTTGCGAACAGTAGAGCGAAGCGTAGTAGACCCTGTATTCGAGTTGATTTATAGCAGCGATACAAAGCAGTAGCAACTATTTTTGTAGAACCTTGCGGGCCCATGCAAAGTGCATGAGCTTCTAGTTGACCATTTGGTGCCAAAGTTACATCAAAGCCAATCTAACACGGTCGATGCCTTCAGCAGCCTCACGCGCAGATTCATACTCCCCAGCCCAACATTTTGCAATGATATCCCTAAGCACAATATGCTTCACGTCTGGATATGTACCATTTCGGAACAGCTCTGCGACCTTGTAGTCAATTTCGTCGTGGTAAGGCCTCTTGGATGTCATAATCTCATGGATCAGCGAGCCCAGCGCATGAAGCTCCGCCTTTATTGTACAGGGCTCGGACTCGTTCGGATCTGGGTGCATGAAATACTCAGACGGTCGTACAAGAGGCTGTTGACCATCGATTCCGGAGCCTGCAAAGTCACATAGTAGAGCACGTCGGGATGAATCCAGCAGTACATTTTTGCACGCTAGATCACCATGCCTGATGTCAAGGTCATGAACATATTGGAGAGCATTGGCAATATCAAGAGACCATTGAATTCGTTCTGCCACAGTCCCATCACCGCCCTGTTGAAAGTAGAGGTCAAGGCAGCCGGGCTCAGCACGCTCGAGGTAAATCCCACGATCATCGTATCGTATACATTTAACGATGTTCCGGTGGTATCCGTTTTCTTTGAATCGGGAGAATATTCTTTTTTCAATTGCAATATTTTCAATCGACCTCGAAGAGGTGTTGGCCACCTTGATCACCTGGCTGGGGTCAGAGGGCCAGTAGTACACAGCTCCGACACCACATGTTGTAAGGAGCTCGCTGTTGGGAGGGCTTTCGATCGAGACTTGCAATACAAGGTCCTCCGGATTCCAGTCCGATGGCAAGTCGGTCAAATTGAGGTTTTTGACCCTGATATATCGTCGGGCGTCTTTGAGCGCTGCTTCTCTAACGAAACCGCTGAATCTATTGTTGAGCTTGGTGGGAGCTTAGTGTCTGACACAGGAGGAACTGATTCGACTTGGGTCATGATTGAGCCTAGTGAAATAGAAAGTACTATAATGTCGTCAATTTGTAGTTGTGTTGCTTTAAAATAGAGAGCCGGGCCAAGAATCTGTATATGTCGTGGACCAACATATAACTAACTAACAGTGCGGCCGGGATGAGTCCCGACCTGCATTCAACAACAGGACAGCAGGGTGGCTTCATAGTGCCACTAGAACTCGGCGTTTTTTCAAAACATTAGATATGGCTATCTCGATAATATAGATATAACTAATCCACACTTCCACCCGCCTGCCTCCTTAACTTACCCGGGACGCTAGTCCTCAAATGATTGTAAGTTAACCACGTGAGAGCGCGATTTGGCGTGTTTCGCGACGCCACGCGACCAACACCGAACGACCTGCTGTCAAAGGAACAGCCAACAACGCATGATGGTCACTCACTGGGAACTGCAAAACTCAGATGCGGCTACTCAAAGCAGTGAAGAAGATGAAGGATTGACAGCTGGGATTTCAAGAAGGAGATCGCCTCTCAACGGCCTCGGGAGTGCCAGAAGGAACAGAAAACCCCGCACCCTGGAGCTTTCGACCGTTATCCTGTCAGACACCCAAAGCGAAGAAATAGTCGATGATGGCGGAATATTCAGTGATGGAGAGACGACATATCTGCAATTCAAAAATAGCAGAAAGCGGAAACGGGCTGTTGGGCAGAAACGGAAAACCAAACCCCCACTGAAAGGGTCTGGTGTTGGCCGCCGCGAGAAACGGGGTGGAACTGCCAATGAAGGGCCTACTCAGAAGAAACGGCGCCAGATGAAGAACTACGGCGAAGTATCTTCTGAAGACGAAATGATGGAAGATGGCCTACCGGATTATTTGCAAAAGCGCCGCTCTCAATTTGACAAGAGGAGAGAACGACTCTTGGAGGCGGGGCTGAAGCTGCCACCTGACTATGAGGACGTGAATTTTTCGGATGATGAGCGTCTGGAATACCTGAAAGAAAAGCCTGCATTTAGCGAAATCAAACCCTGCCGGAAGTATGAGGATATACCACTTCCGTATTCACTAGGGCTAATACCTGCTCCCATCGCGCAATGGCTACGAGACTATCAGGTCGAAGGTACGAGCTTTCTTCATGAGCTGTTTGTCTATCAAAAGGGAGGCATTCTCGGTGATGACATGGGCCTGGGCAAAACGGTGCAAGTGATCGCCTTCCTAACTGCTGCTTATGGTAAAACTGGCGATGAAAGGGACGCCAAACGTATGCGCAAAATGAGGCGAAGAGGCGGTAACCCTTGGTATCCAAGAACTTTGATTATATGCCCGGGTACTCTGATCCAAAATTGGAAGTCTGAGCTTGACTGCTGGGGGTGGTGGTACGTTGAGGTGTACCACGGAGACTCAAAGGACGAGGCATTGCGGTCGGCTGCATCTGGTAGGGTCGAGATTTTGATCACTACGTATACTACCTACCGCATGAATAAAGATGCACTGAATATGGTGGAATGGGACTGTGTGGTTGCCGACGAATGCCATCTCATGAAAGAGCGCAAGTCCGAAACTGCAAAATCGATGCATGAACTGAACGCTTTGTGCCGGATTGGTCTCACTGGCACCGCTATTCAGAACAAATACGAAGAGCTGTGGACTCTCTTGAATTGGTCAAATCCGGGCAGATTTGGACCGGTGTCCACATGGAAAACCACAATCTCCGATCCATTGAAGATCGGCCAGTCTCATGATGCGACAGTTTATCAGCTCAGCAAAGCCAGGAAAACAGCGAAGAAATTAGTCAAAAACCTCCTTCCGGCCTTTTTTCTCCGACGCATGAAAGCCCTTATTGCTGATCAGCTTCCGAAGAAAAGCGACCTTGTTGTGTTCTGTCCGCTCACCGACACCCAGGTTGATGCGTATGAGAACTTGCTCGACAGCGACATTGTGGAATACATCAAGATGTCTTCCGACCCATGCCCATGTGGTTCAGGGAAAAAGTCGGGATGGTGCTGTTTTACGACAGTACCCAATGGCGGGCGATGGCAGAATTATGTTTTCCCTACGATCTCTAACCTACAGAAGTTATGCAATCATCTTGCAACCCTTATTCCACAGCCAACTGACCCGGATGAAAAGCAGGAAAGAGATCTTCGTATGTTAGAGGTCGCGGTTCCGGACCAATGGCGCGAGTTATACCGCACTCGAGGATCCATCCTGAATTATTCGAATCCCGAGTTTTGCGGGAAATGGAAAGTTCTCAAGAAACTGCTCAAGTGGTGGCATTCGCATGGTGACAAGGTTCTCGTCTTCTCTCACAGCGTTCGGCTATTGAAAATGTTGCAGCTGCTGTTCAACCATACCAGCTATAATGTCAGTTATCTGGATGGTGCAATGAGCTATGAAGATAGAGCCAAAGTGGTGAACGATTTCAATGCAGACCCCAGGCAGTTTGTTTTTCTTATATCGACCAAAGCCGGTGGAGTTGGCCTTAATATCACTTCGGCGAACAAGGTCGTTGTTGTCGATCCGAATTGGAACCCTTCGCACGACCTACAAGCGCAAGATCGTGCATATCGTATCGGCCAGCTAAGGGACGTCGAGGTTTTTCGCTTAGTATCCGCTGGTACTATTGAAGAAATTGTCTATGCGCGACAAATATACAAGCAGCAACAAGCAAATATCGGCTATAATGCGAGCACTGAACGACGCTATTTCAAGGGAGTGCAAGAAAAGAAAAGATCGAAAGGGCGAGATTTTTGGTCTCTGCAATTGTTTGAGTATCGAAACAATATATGTGTTGAGAGACATAGTCAACCAAGACCACATGCTGAAGCAAAGCGGGAGTTCAAGTGTCGATTTCAAAGTTGACGAACAGGACAACGAGAACCAGCTGCCGGGTTCTAATGATGTAGAGAACGAAGGATGCTGCAATGAGTCAACTGGCCGCCTTGGTTCAGAATGGTTCTGATGATATAAAAAGATGGGGTGAAAAAGCCAAATCTACCACTCCAGCTCGACACGATCCCATCCAAGCTATCCTTGCTAGTGCAGGCGTGGAATACACCCATGAAAATTCTGAAATCATTGGCCCTTCAAAGATTGAAGAGCAACTCAGCCGTCGTGCTGAAATGGCAGACGACGGCGGTGATTTTGGTAGAGAGCAAGTATTCCAAGGCTCCCAGGGCTTAACTATACTCTCAGCGGAAACCAAAGGTGGAAAGATGGTTAAATTCAAGTATCATCCACCTAACGACGTTATGAGAAGGCAGTTCTGCAGCATGGCGAGGGACAGTGGATATGAAAATGCCACAGAGTTTGCGTTAGTGGTAGAGGGGATGACGCAGGCTGAAAGACGGGCCTGGCTGGAGAAATGGTACAAAGGCCGGCGGGAGATTTTATTGAGAGATGAAGCGCATATCGTCAACTCGCCAAAGATTGAGATAAAGACCAAAGATGGATCGGACGAAACCAAAATCAAAGAGGAGTCACTTGCCGGTGCACACCACAGTCTAGCAGCAGGATGAGTCGCAGTTGAGATGGATCTCACAGTCTCTCCGACTCTCACTGATATTGTCACTTTGGCGCAATATTGCATGCTACATTAGTTGCAGATACAACAGGGATAGAAAGAAGACCCGAAAGGAAATTCCCCGTCCACACTGCCACAATATACAAGCCGGTGTGGTAATGCCAAGCGAGGAACAATGGGTTGAAACCCTACGGGCACATATACTGCTTGGGGCCTTGGAACGTTTTGATGAAATGTCGCGCTATAAGGTGTCAACAAGAATAAAACCACCAGAGAAGATGGTAGGTTTGAGATTTAGGTTCGAATCTTCAGGTCGTAGTCACATAATCGCGAAAAAAAAAAAACATCATGCCACTTGTTGCCGTCGAAGTCGCCTTGAATTCTCTTAAGACGTAGGAAAATGCCGTAACTCCATCGCTATAAAATGTATGTTCCCTCCCGAAACAATGCCACAGGAATATCAGAATTTCAAAACCACGACAGGGTCCATAAAGCAGGCAGATTTGGCCATTTCTCCTGCCACTTGGCAAGGATCTCAGGCACCTTTTCGTCGAAGCCCCTTCGTGCTGCTCCTCCTCCTTGGTCCCATCCATCCACCCCGTTCATCTTTCGCTCCTGGTCTGCGGCCTCATTTAACCGGTCTGCAAGGTCGAGAATAGCTTTGCTTCCAACCAGTGCTTCCTCGTGATTATCTCTGATATCGACATTGAAGACGTGGACGGGCCGGTTCAAGGGGGCGCCGCGATTCATCAAGTCATCTACTACTGCATCCCAGCATTTCTCTTCGCATGTAATGATCACGTCGACAATGCCACCTTCGGTCCCGAGACTGCCTTTATCACCGCGCGAAACATGGTCCAATCGCGGTAATCCAGGCGTCCACTCCTGGAACCGCTCCGGACCCCATTTCACGCTTCTGTTTCGATCAAGCATGGGTAAAACGCCATTATTCCTGTATAATCTTGGATCTTTGGTTTGTAATTCGTCATATATCTGAGAATATGATACGGTATTGAAAATTGTATACGTTCGGCTGGGTAATTGTCGGCCCAGGAAGGCGGACCAGGGATCCCGTGCCGAATGATATGACTGGGTATGAAGATGGGGGAGCGGCGAGGCGGTTATGGGCTTCCATAGAACGGTTTTGGTTTGCTGCACATACCGTGCAGAATTTAAGCTTGTACGATGTAGAGGTAGGATGTGGAGGGGTAGAAGAGGGCTTTTCTACGGATCCAGGTGCCTGAGATGAGTTTAGCCAGTGGTCTTCGGGTGGAGGAGGCGGCGGAGGCGGCGGTGGGTTTGGAGTAACGGATCTCGAGCTGACGTCGCCGGCTAAACGAGGGTCTGAGCTCATGGTGAGCTATCTTTTGATCCACAGGCTGGTTTGCGGAATGTAGGGCAGAAGGGGACCGGTCTTGGATCGGGTCAGGGACGAGAGGAGCGTGTCACGGAAGTTCTAGGAGAAGAACAATTAGCAAGTCTAGGTCACTGGGATAGTTTACTCGGAGAACTAGATGGATTGTAGCGAGATCAGAGTGATTAAAGTTGCGTATATTGTTTTATCCTCATCAATGAGTAGGACAGCTCCAATAAAAGGTTCATCATGCGAATCGAAAGTGACAATTGAGAAAGAAAATGAATGTGCGGTCGTCTATCATACCTTGAATTCACCGCATCTACTAAAATTTGATAATCTCACGCGGTCAACTATGATACCAACTGTCGAAGACGTCTGTCATTCAGCGGGAAGAGAATTCTCCAAGAGACTAGAGATCGAGAAAGAGGTGATGCTTGGCAGTCTGCTTAGTCAAGTACTGATTATGTAACCAGCGGAGAGGTACTCGGTCAACAACAGACCTGAGACTGCAGACGAGCTCTCTTCTGTCACAAGAAGGCTGCAAACAATATGAGCTGACATGACCTCCCATGTTATCCCACAAATCATTTGATCCTTTGAACTAACTGATTCTTTGGGCACTGTGACCATGGACCAAATTACAAAACATAGACTGGATCGGGCTGCTGAGGAACTTATAGCTTCAATTGATCCTTCAAAAGTCTGTGAGCTGGCCACTTCCTTTCACCCTGCCAAAACTCCCTGTTGGATCTTTTCAGACTGGAAGAAGGGTGGCTTTAATGTCTGTTTTCCCGTGATATTTAACCAGGACCCCGGGAGCATGGAGGGTAAGAAATGGATGGTCAGAATTCCCCTTCTTTCCCAACTGGCATTTCCAGAAGAAAAGATGCACAGTGAAATTGCAACCATGAAGTAGGCAGTTTTTTCTTCAGGGTTTTGGAGGGCATTTTATAACTACAGAGTACTCCATACCAACAAACCTAACAACAAATAGGAGAAGACTCCCTCCTATTCTTCCAATTTAGTTCTTCCTTCCCAAGTATGCATCCTTTTCGGGGCATAAGCTCCAATGGCTTCATTGCTTCCCCAGAAAAGGTAGTGATGGAAATGGTTTTTCAATTGCTGTTTCACGACTGGTGCTTCAGAGTGCAGACTGGAATGTGTTGGAGCATGAGATCTGATTGACCGATTCAAAAACTACAAAACAGTGAGCAACTCGCTACACATAAAGGCAAAGGCTACGGCTACGCCTCAGCGTCTCACAATCGGGTATTTCTCAACGCTGCCCCAAACACAATGCGTCTGTCCCACTCGGCTTGTGCTTTCCAGGGCCCTTGAGTGCTGTCTCCAAGGATCCAGCGTCTAGCAATCTCTCTAACAACATCGTCCCGGTCTCTCGAGGCATCTAAAATCAAAAGGCAGCCACAGACCACATGCTCGAGGTCCCGTAAATAGCTTCTGCCTTCCCATTTCAACTGCTCCTTCTCCTTGGTTTTGATCCCTGTGAGCCAGTGCTCCCATACCCGCCGCAGCTGTCGGGCTTCGTTGCCGAATCCTTTTGAATCAGCCGCACCCAATACATTTGAAACCCAGGCACCTAATACCGCAAGACATTCTGAGCCTTCTCTCCCCTTGGCCACACGAATGAGGTCGTCAGCCATAATATCTGTGGTCCCTTCCCAAATGCTTAACACGCATGAATCTCTGAAGATTCGAGCAATATTGAATAACGGATCCTCGTTCTCAAGATATCCGACGCCACCGAGGTTTTCCATACATGCGCGTACCCCCTTGATCGCTCGAAGCGCGGTCTGGGCTTTGACCATCGGCGTAAGAAGCCGCAGGAGTGCCTGTGCTTCCCGCTGGGTCTGAGGGACAATGTTTGCTCGCGCTGCGGGTGTTGGACCACTGTCCTGTCCCTCAGAGAGGCCAAGCAAGGCTGCCAAAAGGAATGTTAGATGCATGTTAGCTGCATATTTGACGTAGTCCTGTGCGAGTTTCCTGACATGCGCTGGCATGTCCATCAACAATGTGTTTCTGACCATTCTGACTTTCGCATATGCCTTTGAGATTGCCAGTCCCCGACCCCAGTAACTTACAGCTGCAATGGCGTTCTGTAACCTGGTTATGTTAAGAAGAGTGGAAATCTCTTTGACTCCCTGTCCCTCCTTTCCAATGAGGTATGCCCTCATCCCTTTAAGTTCCAGCTCTGCCGTAGGCACAGGCTTCGTCCCCAGTTTGTTTTTGAGCCGTTGAATCCGGATTCCGTTTAGCTCGGTTTCGCCGTTACCTCCTTTTACTCTTCTTCGTAGCGGTGCATAGAAAGCACTGACGGCTCCGTCCTGACTTGTTTTAGCAAGCAGAATGGTCATATTCGCATCTGTTGCTGAAGAAAACCATTTGAATCCGTCAATGCGCCATGGGCCCAGGGGCAAGCTGTTGGCATCAACGCCGTCTGACTCCGATTTCTCTGCAGCTGAAAGCTTCCTGGCTACTGTTTCCGTGCCACGAACATCACTTCCTCCCTTCCGTTCAGTCATCCACTGGCCACTTGTCCACGCGATATTTGGATCGCGGCTAATCAGCCTTCTCCTGGCTTCTGCAAAATCCCTCCATTTTCGCCATCCAAATGCCTGCCCAGTAAACATGCCGCGCCATCTGTCATGGGCGCTGGGGACATGTCACCATCCGCTGCGCTAGGGGGTCCAAAGGGGGGCCTTTTAGACTTTGATAAACCCCATTATTCCAGACCTGTCCACCATATTGCTGCTCATAACCCCTGGGCACGATTCCTTCTTTAATTCCAATGGGGTGAAGTGTTCTCCAGCCTTGGCCAGTGAGTAAAGAGTCTTGTTTGTTCTCTACGCCGAAAGTGGGTGAGCGGGTTCAGGGAAGGCAGGTTTTGCTCTGGGTCAGCGATATGAGACTGGATGGGCCTGGATAGTACCAAGGGGGAGAACCGGGTTAGATCCTGAACGAGTTCTTGCGGGAATCGGCTCAGGGAGGTGAAGGGACACCATGCGACGGAATATGGGATCGTCTTCGATTAACGGAGGGTAGCGCGGGGGGCTTTGGGAAGAAACCGGGGGGAGCACTGGAGGCTCCATCACTGCAGCAGGTAGATAAACGTGACGCTCTGCTCAAGAGGTATAAGTCTTTGTTGATAATTGCTGTGCAATGATACACCCACAACATTAGTCGCCATTTATTATGCCGTGATCTTTCTCGGGCTGAGGAGACGACTCCAATACTCCGCATCAGACATTTGGGGTTGAGCCTCGGCATGTGATGCGTTCGGCCAGAGCCCATCTATCACTATCTTCATAGTTGCTCGTCAAGGCCTCAAGGGACATTTCGACAGGAACTCACTCCCCGATGTTTTATTATACACCTGCATGCTTGACATGATTGCAATCTAAACTGCCTCGCACCTTGGTAACTACGGCAGCTGGTAACTTGCTTAACTAACTATATCATCGCCTCCGATTCAAGTCACTGCGAGCGCCACGGCGGGGTTGAAGAACACCGATTCAAGATTCAGATATCAGAAAATCACTAAACTACTAATAATATGGGAATTTCAACTTGCATCGGCGTGGCCCCCCCTGTCGCCCGCCAGAATCGTGATTGCGAGTCGATTCCCCGACCGTGCCAGGGCCACGACATTCACCAGAAACGCTCCCTCAGCTTTCTATCGTTTTGACGCCCTGTTATGTATCGGTCAATTCGTGATCGGTTGTAGCGGCGAGACTGGCACCGGATCGTTGGCAATTTGCAATATTGTTGCCTGATTGTTGCCTGAATGTTGAAATTTGCCCAACGGCCCACATGCACAATGTCGTCCGCAGAATAGCGTGCATTCGTTGTGTTGTCAGTACTTTGACCGATATCGGCTACTGGGAGTGCCTGTGGATTGCATGAGGAGCAACAGAGGGATTCTCCCCAATCTCTCCAACGAAGCCTGAAGATTCTCCGTGATCTCTCTACAGGTAAATGAGGTGGACGACTAGCTAACAAGCCACCTGCAAATCATTCTGATGAACGATGAATAGTCGTATGATTTCCGTTGATTTCGAACATTCCGCTGCAGCTCATACCCTTGCTTGGTGGCCTACGGTCGCTTAATGGCTTTGCTCTCTCCTGATCAGGTTTCAGCGCTTACGGCTGCAGATGTCTCCTTCAATCAGGTGCTGAAGGAAGGCGAGTTCTCCACCGTGTTCCAGGTCCTCATTCGAGACCAGAAGTATGTGATGAAAGTGGTAAGTTCATGGGTCTACACATTTTGGAGGTACTTGTTCTTTTTACGAATTGATGATGCAATATCACACACAGCTTGTCCTGGGATGGACGCCTCCCAACCGCGAAACCAATATCTTCATCTGCGAGAGCACTGCCTATCGACGCCTAAAGGCTAAGAGACTATATGAGAAAGGTTTGGTTCCGGACTTTTATGGGGAGATGGAGAATTTGGACCCGGATTTGTGGAGGCCCCATTTGGACAGCTTTCTTCGCGATGAGCTTCGCCCCTGTGCGGTGGTTTTAGAATACATCCCGAAGCTACAGAAAATGCAACTCTCCAATTTCTCAGAAGCTAGGGCTGCTGAATTTCGAGCAATTTTTCTTGAGATCCAACAAGCGCATGTTTATCATGGCGACCCATACCCAAGGAATATGATGGTTTCATATGCCTCGAAACCGGAGAGGTGCCTTTGGATAGACTTTGACCGCGCCCAAACGTATTCGGAGGGTGAGCTGACACCCAGGCAAAAGGAGCTAATGGGCGAAGAGATCGCGCTTGTGGATAATTTCTTTGAAGATGCGGTACGTTGAGCTCATTCCTAGCTGGTTTAGTAGTTAATACTGACTAGCTGGTGGTATTCCTTCTCCAGGCGGCGGATATTCAGGAGGGAACCACATCTCGTACCTCGCCCTGGTATCGAAGTTTGTAGGCAGGCATTATAAGTTGAATCTAGGTCTGCTGTTATGGATATGAAAGGCCCCATTGCCAACAGTAAAAGCAACAATAAAACAGGCATGGGAATCGAAGATTCGTGTCTTTTAGCTTTTCTGCAATAGTTACAAAGCCAGGATATGCTATGACAAGAATGATTGACCATATTATTATTTTATTATTTTTCATAGGCTCTTATGCGTCTGAGACTATGAAGAGCCACCAGGCAATTCACCCAACTGGATACAGGCTTATGTTATCCTGGATGTGAGGACTCCAGCTGGCATTCCATTTAACCAAGCTTCAACCGCGCAATGATTTCAGAGTAGGCTATTGCCCCCAGCGTTGGCCGGAAAAACTGCTGAGCCATCGGTATATACATTTACTCCTCCGTTCATAGTGAACAATGACTAGCATTGATACCGACAATGGCTTCCAACCAGCACTCATCGTGGTTGACATGCAAGAGGACTTTTGCCCGCCAGTGAGTCGAACCCGCTAGTTAACCTTCCAACGCACCCTCATGAAACAACACAGAATCCTCTCGGCGTCCAAGGTGGGCGCGACCTTGTCCCGCTGATCAATGAAATAATTCAATATCCCGGGTTTGTCGTCAGAGTCGCGACTCAGGACTTCCACCCCGCAACCCACATCTCGTTCGCGAGCAATCACCCGGCACCAAACAATAACCCGTTTGAATCGCACATACAGATGACAAACCCAGCTGTTGTTGGCTCAGACCCAACAGCGACAATCGCTCAGCGGCTATGGCCCGCCCATTGTGTCCAGAACACGCCCGGCGCGGAGATACTACCCGCCATCAGGATGGACAAGATTGATGCGGTGGTGAAGAAAGGGATGGATGAGCGGGTGGAGATGTATTCTGCGTTTGCGGATGCGTTTGGGAATAGAGACTGTAAGGCTACGGGCGGTGCGAGTGCGGACCTAGAGGCGATTCTGAGAGAGAAGGGGGTTACGGATGTGTTTGTGGTAGGCCTTGCGGGGGATTACTGCGTCAAACACACGGCGATTGATGCGGCGGAGAGGGGGTTCAAGACCTTTGTGATTGAGGAAGGGGTCAAGTGTGTTGATGCGGTGAGCGGGTGGCAGGAGGCCAAGGTTGAATTGGCGGCGCGGGGTGTCAAGGTAGTTGGGCTTGACGGCCTGGAGGTGGGAAGAGTCAAGGTAGGGATATAAAGGCGGGTTGGCTGGAAGGGCGAGGAGGTTTATCGACTATAAGCTGTATCGCGGGCTCATATGGGATAGGTGACGTTTTTATATGATTATCTTGGAGTACGCCTCGATGTTGGAACATAGCTACATGTATTCTAGACTGAGTATGAAACTACCAACGGCAAAGCTTGCCAACGGTGCTAGTCCGGAGTCTCAAAAGGCCTCGGGCGGCGGAAGTGGGAGAAAGAGGCGTTGGACTCTCTGCTCAAAGGCCTTTGTGAGATTTGATTTGGACGGCGGACTGTCCCGTGCCCAGGCTGTTCGTGTCATGGGTACCCCGCGAGTCCACGAGCAAACACTCTTTCTCAATATCAGATGCCCCAAGCTGGCGGGTATTTCCTGGAATCCCGAGCCTCAACTCCTCCAGCATGTTGTCCAACTCCGATGAGATTCCCGCCAGCTCCATAGTCGCAGCAGAAATCGATCCTCTGCCTTACTGGCTAGTCAACGTCCCAGCCGCACAAAGGCCGTCGGAATGCCCGGAATTCCTTCAGAACTTGCCGGAGAAGTCAATTCGCATTCTCTCGACGCCGGATTCAGACTATGTTCGGCAGGACTGGGCCCTGGTTAGGGAAATAGTAGGTTGATCTCCCGCCCATGGAACCCCGTCCTGTGCGAGCTTCCTGTTAATCAATCCCACGACCCGACAGAGGCTAATCAAATCCATCGATTCCACCGCGTCCCGTCGGACTTGAGAAAGTACCTCGAGTACATGGCTCAGATCAAAGTAGCCTACGGTTCGGTTCTAGAATTCATCATCCAAGAACGGCTGTGCTGGGATGACTTGAAACCCAAGGGTACAAGTCTGTTTGAACATCCCGGTTCGTTGAAGAAAACTATCCAAAGTTTCTCTCCCCTCCCGCTCCCGTTCTTCCTTTCTTCCTAGCCCACCCTGTCGGGTTCCGGTTCCAGCCGCTTGATATTGCTGACCGACAGAAACGTGGTATGGCGGACAGATGACTACAAAATCCTGTATAATGATTGGCCGTATGGGGTGGAAAAGGACATTATTCACCTGGTGGTGTGGACGAAGTTTGCGCTTGAAGACGATCCCGTCACGGATGATCTGACCCCTCGCGCACGGATGGAGATTGACGAGTTCGTTGGAAGGATCTTCCGGTCAAGGATGGCAGCGGAACGAGTGAGTCTGTCTCGAGAGCGTGATGCTCAGGCATTGACGCTGATTGCCCGTCCAGGTGGTCTGGTTTAAGAACTGGAGGTCACTGAAGTCAGTCCACTCGATAGAGCATTTCCATGTTATGCTCAAGGCGCCAGATCTGGAATTCGTGCACGAGATCACCAAGGGAGACGTGCCGCTTGTCGAGAAGATTTGATCGGGATAGTTTAGTTCCTGCTGCACGGTTCATGCTGGTTGAACGGCTAGTTAAGCGATTCCCAACCCAAATAACTAGAAGAAGCACCAGTGGACCTGACGCTTCTCAACAAAATCCGCTTCGAGCTTCATTGGGGTTAACAGTCCTTTTTGCCAGCACTCTGTACTCTGTGTCGGGTCAATTGTGACAAGTTTGAAGTGCCAGCAACGGGGGCTAGTTCCGCCTGGGTGCCCCTCATTTGCTAATCCCGCAAAGCTTCTTCCAACAAAACAAAAAGGAAAAAAAATAAAATAAAAACAAGTGAATTCACCCTTCAATGTTCTATCTTCCGTGCTGCCTTCGTCTCTGCCGGTGATACTCGCTCGTTTCTCTGTCTTCGTAGCACGACAGCATTTCTTCACCGTAGCCCACGCTCTGTTTGTGTATATCTTTCTGTTCCCCTTGCTTGGCCTCCTACGTAAGAGGTCCTCCTGGGAAATATATCGCCGAACGCCCGCTTTGCCACTGCCGTGTACATACTCGAACCAGCCCAACAAAAAGCCGGCTTCTCTCGATTGCTCTCCTGGATGCCTTTACGTGCCGTTTTCGATCCCTTGAGCTGCACGATCTAGATCCGGGTGCTGATATTCGACCCCCGCCATGCTGCCCAAGCTGGCTCTAGGCCACCACGGCCATCAAACTCCCCGCCGCTCGTCGTTAAACAGTGCGTCCCGAGAGGTCCTTGCTATATAGCCCGTGCGACTTCTTCTTTTTTCGAGTTTACACTGTATTTCATCGCCAATTGGCAAGCCCAGACTGATGCTGATCGCTTCTATCCTGCTACAGGTGCTCGATCCGATGACTCTAGCCAACCGACATCGCCTGGCGCTGAAGATGAAACTGTTGTCGAGCCCGACCAAGGCAATGGTAAGCCTTGAGACTCCCATGGTTTTTCACCCTGAGCAAACAAGCATTGCTTCCGCTGCTATCCCACGCACAATTTCTAACTTATTACTTGCACCTAGTGCTGTCCCACATCATTTCGCAGCTACGACCCGGCGCCGACCTGAGTAGGGTCGTGTTGCCCACGTTTATACTTGAGCCCCGTTCGATGCTAGAAAGGATTACAAAGTACGTTGGCTCTCGAGCTGCTGCGTTTGCAAGATCTATATTAACCGGACAATGGGCTTGAACAGTTTCATGGCTCATCCAGAAACTTTGCTAGAAATGCCAAAAATTGAAGATCCGCTCGAGAGATTCGTGTCCGTGGTCAGGTTCTATTTAAGCGGCTGGCATATCAAACCACCGTATGCAATGCCCCCCTGGTTCTCCGGTTACCAAGCTATACACTAATCATTTTGAGAATAGAGGCGTCAAGAAACCCCTGAATCCGATTTTGGGCGAAGTCTTTACATGCTATTGGGAGTATCCAGATAACAGTCACGGCTACTACATCTCAGAGCAAACATCCCACCATCCTCCTAAATCGAGCTACTTTTTCATGGTCCCGGAACACCACATCCGCATCGATGGCACCCTAAAGCCCCGAAGTCGGTTTTTGGGAAACTCCGCCGCAAGCATGATGGAAGGTATAGCCATACTGCAGTTTTTGAATAGAGGCAAAGAAAAGCATGGCGAAAGATAGTATGAACACATCTGCCGACCGTCAAATGGCCGAACTGACATCTGGCGTAGTATCCTTACCCAGCCAAATATGTATGCGCGGGGTATTTTATTTGGCAAAATGAAGTACGAGCTTGGCGACCATAGCTATGTCAGATGTCCGGAGAATAACCTGGTTGCGGATGTGGAATTCAAAACCAAAGGGTACTTCATGGGAACCTACAACGCTATCGGAGGCACAATAAAAAACGAGGCAACCGGCGAAGTTTACTACGAGCTCTCTGGGTATTGGAATGGGGAGATGTATATCAAGGATGTCGCTGTAAGTTTAACGCTATACGGCACAGTCTACTTCGTACTAACCGATTAATAATCGCTAGACTGGAAAAAAGGAGTTGCTTTTCAATGCCACAACTGCAAAGCACAGCCCACCTATTGCCAGACCACTCGAAGAACAGCAACCGCGCGAATCGCAAAAGCTGTGGCACAGCACAACCCAAGCGTTGCTCGCAAGGAATCACGAGTTAGCAACAGAAGAAAAGACAAAGATAGAGGATAGGCAACGCGAGGAAGCGGCTCAGCGAGCTGACAGAGGTGTGGAATGGCGCCCAAGGCTATTCAGGCGTGTCAAAGGGGGGCCTGGCGGTCCCGAAGAGGGAGAAGAGGACCTTGACTGGATATTGAATGCTCATATGTAAGTGGCCGCGATTAACCGTTACCAAACCGACACGAGCTCTGACAATGTCGATGCATGCAGTGATTCAGAGGATCCAAAGCTCGCTACACGCCAAATCCTGGCTGTCGCGCCGATTCTGAAAGGGCAGGAAGTTGATCACCAGTTTGATATTCCGCCACACTGTCCGTCGTCACACCGTTCGGATAAACATCATCAGCCAGTCTCCCAAAATTCTGCGCATGAGCAACAAACCAACAATCTGATAGATTTTGGCAATGACGGAGCCGCACCTGGATTGGAAACCGGCAAGGAAAGCACTTCTGAGCAGTTGGCATCAAGTACAGGACACCCAATACAGAGAAGAGACTCCCACTCTTCAGGCGTTGACGAGTTTGTCGACGCTCAGGATTGAAATGCGAGTTCATCACATATGACCTGCAACAGGACGCGGTATTTTGAGCTCATACAACCAAACTTGGCGTTGCTCGTTCTTGAGCGATGACTTGTGCCGGATAATTGACCTTGTTCGCGTTGCACCTCAGTCACTGGTAACAATTCGTCGATTACGCAAATTTGGATGCAGACACGTCTTCCAGCGTATTTATTCTGGGAGCGGGCTACTCGACAAGCTGAGCATCGCGGCTTAAGCTGGATAGCGACTGGATGTGGAACTCTTACCCAATCCAGGGTATTTCGATGAATACCTTACTATCTTTTACCAAGTTCATTACATGGCAACGGCGATTATGAAATACCAACTTTAAAGCGTCGAACATGAGTTCTTGACAGCATGCATAGATAGGATAACCCTAGATAATACATGAAAAATTAGTATAATGAATAATAAAAGTGTTCATGTGAATGTCCATCTAAGATTCTGTAAGCTGGCACAGTTAAGATAATCGCCTCCGAAAGATAGTCATCCCAAGTCTCATAGAGCCATTGTACTCCCGAACCTCCCAAAACACCAATACACGATATCAGGGGCGTGGGGCAGTTCATTTGCCAGTAGAAATCCACCAAAACTCCCAAGACAAAGAAAATGGAAAACTTCATGTATACAGCTCCCCTCTAACTCCCAGCCCTTTCTCTTGATCCTTTCTCCGACTAGATCTTGATCCACCAATACCCACCGTGCTCACACCCGCCCCGTCACGATCTTCCTGCTCCTCCTCACCCAACAATTTCTCCTCCTCCAGCTCCCGTTCGATTTCCTCCCTCAATCCCAGTATATCCGGCGGAATCACGCTCATCTGCACACTGGGAGCCCCCTTGATATACCTCAACTGCTCCATCGTACTCTGCACCAACGACTCCAAATACGCCCTCGAGTTCTTATTCTCCACCTTGCGCATCTCCGACAACGGCGGGAACAGCGTGCAGTCGGGGCGGAAGTGGTTGCGGAACTTGAGTGATTCAGGGAGGACCGGGTTGAGGTCGTTCTCGGCGTCGAGGCAGATCGCGGTCTCGTAGGCCCAGAGGCGCGAGACGTTGCGCGGGGTGTACCCGCCACCGCCGACGACGAGGGTGGGCAGGCCAAAAGTCTTGGTGTAGGCGACGCAGGCGCCGTGGGCGCGGATGTTGAGGTTGAAGCAGCCCAGGCGGTCGCAGCCGAGGCTGTCAGCGCCGCATTGGAGGACGATGGCGCCGGGTTGGTAAGTGCGGATGCAAGGGCCGATAATGGATTTGAACAGGGCGACGTAGTCGCTATCTTCGACGCCGTCGTTTAAGGGGATGTTGAGGGAATGGTGGGCGCCTGGGTTGAGGGGGTGAGAAGGGCCGGTGCTGTCCAAGGGTCCGGTGCCGGGGAAGAAGTTTTCCTTGTCGTATTTGTGGAAGGAGACGGTGAGAACGCGATCTGTTGACCAAAAGGCTTGCTCGACTCCGTCGCCGTGATGGACGTCGATGTCGATGTACATCACACGGGGGTGAATCCGGAGTAACTGGAGGATCCCAAGTACGATGTCGTTGACGTAGCAAAAACCGCTCGCCTCGGCCTTTTTGGCATGGTGGAGACCGCCGGACCAGTTTATTGCGATTTCAGATTGATTATTGCAGAGCTTTCGCGCTGCGTCCAAGGTTCCGCCCGCGTAGAGCGAGCAGTAGTTAAATAGGCCGTCGAAAACCGGGCAGTCATCCCCAAAATTAAAGCGGGCGAGGGTGTCAACCTGGGACGTTGACTCCATATCCGCCGGCAGCACTTGCGTTAGGAACTCGAGGTAATCCGAGCTGTGAAATTCTGCCAGTTCCTCGTACGTTGCCGACCGGGATAGATAGAGGTCCATTGCGTGATGCATCCCGTAGGCCAAGACCAACTGTTTCGTGAGCGTCAGTCGCCATGGTTTCATCGGGTGATTCGAGCCAAAATGATGCGGTTCGACAGCCGGATTGGCATGCCAGGATACGCGATAGCCCTTGGGTCGCTTGATGATATCGTACTCGGCCTCATCTGCGGTTTTGGTATCTAGGCTTAATGTTGGGTTCTTGACCGGCGGAGCGCCGTACTCTTGAACGACGGTGGTTCGAGACATGATTGTCAGATAAATGAGAGCCTCCAGGCACAGCACTCAGCCATATGGCGACAGGCCAGAGTGCGCTTGTGCAGCGAAAGAGTGGTTTCTCTTGATGCCAGGAAGCAGGATGGCGTGAATGTTGTCATTGTCTGGCTTTCCGTCTCAAGAAATGGAGGCTCTGGGCCATCAAATCAAGTGGCCAATCACAGCCTTTTTTCTGTTTCAACCAGCCCGCTAGTCCCAATACAGCCTAGTCCCGTAAATCCCCGGTTGCAGCAGAATCCGCTAATCCGAATGAGGCTAGTTGTATGGTCTGTGCGCTTGCCACTCGAAGGCGGTGGATCTTTCTGCCGCCAACTTCACTCTTCATTTCACGATTCAATCAGTCACACACCACTTATTCACAACTCGCTGTTGGATAGTGACCTGTTCAAAGGGACTACTTGAAGCTGATGACAAACTTGATCATCAGTTGTGCCAGCGCTACAGGGTCTACAGCTAGAATATGGCACACGCAGAGGACTGCTCCACAGTGCTGGAGCAGTTTGTCCATGATGGTATGTTGCCATGCGACATCCTTTCTTACATATAGCTAATAGTGGCATAGTGGCAAACCTTCCGGCTGAGATAAGCCATTTGATGGAGGAGATCCAGGCAAAGGACAAGATAATACAGGAATGTCGTGCTTTGATAAACTCCCGCGATGGCAGCCTGCAAAAATTTATAAAACTAAACGGCAGTCACGCGCTCAACCCTAAAGAGGAATCGTACAGCAATGCAATACTACAGAACATGGACCGCTCCCAGGTGCTACAGGACGAGAAGATCGCGCTGAGCGAGAAAGCGGCCGTTATCCTTGATAGGCATATCAAAAAGCTGGATATCAAAATTCGCGACTTGCAAAATGACGGCATCCTTTCAAATGACCCGCCTATTCCGTCTCTATTTAGCACTAAAGACACTTACCGCGACACTAAATCCATTTTTTTTACCGAAGCTGCTCAGGCTGATACTTATCCATCGCCTCTCAACCCGACGTCTGGAAATGCTGCTTTGCCAGCTAACCTTCTCCAGCGATTAAACAGTGCCACAACAGCCGCTGCTGGTATGTCTGGCACTGCAGGAAGCACCGGAAGAAATTCAGCCCCCGCCACCCCAGGCGCCGCGGCCTTGCATTTCCAGCAACGCCAACGAGAATCTTCTGCTGGTGCAACAGAGAATAAACGTCGAAGACTTAACGCATCATTAACAAACCTGCCTGCTGCCCCATCCGGCCTCCGCCAGTCCTCCTTAGGTCCTGGCACGCCAAAAGCTGGAACCCCGGGTGCTACGCGGGCAGGAAGCGCGGGTCCAAGAACAACAACAGCAACCAAGAAAGCCACCATTAAGAAAGTTGCACCGCATCAGCAAGTGCGAAAGATAAAGGCTGGTGCCACAGCAAGCAAAACATCGAAACGTTCCTCTAGTGGAAACGGCCGGCTGAAACCTGTTTCCGGCAACACAGCCTCACGGAAAAGATCGCCCGCCTCGGCGGCTAGTATGCTCGAAGAGGAGGACGAATCTATGCTGAGTAGTGCCGACCTTTCAGAGTCCGAGAATAATGTTTCCCGTCGCCAGGCTGGCAGAGATTCGGACGAGGAGATGGAGGATGAAGAGGATGAGGGGGGAGAGGATACTAAAGTCTACTGCACTTGTCGCAGTGTGAGCCACGGGGATATGGTTGCCTGCGATAATGATAATTGCCCATATGAATGGTTCCATTGGAAATGTGTAGGGTTAACCAGGGAACCTTTGGGAACGTGGTACTGCGAGGAATGTCGAAGGGAATCTGGGCAAATGAGTTGACATTCTCATCTTTTATCCTGGCATTTTATTTGCCACGGGGACTGTAGATTATATGATTATAACGAGTTACGAATTTAAAGCTATTGTTTGGTCCATATTATGTTAGTATATCCTTAGCAATCCTAGAAGTACTCAATACAATCCACCCAGGCTTATATCTGGTCAATAGCTATTTTTGGATGTTAAATACTGTTTAAACTGAAGGTTGGAACCCAAGGTTGATATAACTACACTCGGCGCAGTAAGCATCAATGTAGACCAAAAAAACAAACTCCAGCGCTATGCTCTATATTCATGATACAAACGGTTAGTTTCGGACTTTTCATTCCTAAATTCTTATAAAAATTTTGGAGCCTTTCCAGTATTTGACAATGCGTACGGGATAACGGTGTTGGTTTTGTCACACGTCGTGGAATATATTTCGGAGTTAAGTTGTAAGGATACGGAGGCGGCTTGGATGATAAGAAAATATAGCAAGAGGAGGTAGGTCGATGAAAATGTAGAGGTTTCACAAAGTGGTATCCTTCGTGATATGCGGACTGGTTCGGCTGTCAAGTCAAGAGTGGGGTTTTTAGAATGAAAGAGCTTCCTTTAACCACTCTTGGAAATATTCGCAATTCTCCGCGTTGATGGGCCCGCCTTCGTGACATAACGAAAAGACTGGACATCTGCCACAAGGTACCTCCGTCATGCCATTACTCCCAAGTGCAAGTTGATCTTGGTCAGAAGTTCCCTTGTCGGCCCCAGGCCCTTGAAAACCGAGTTCGCGTTGAAGAGATATCTGGTTTGGTTTCTTAACGCTTTTATAAGCCGCTCCGTCACGAAGAGAGACCAATCTGCCGTCGTAGCAGAGCATCTCGAGGAGTTGAGCGATACTCCCTTCTCCCAATGTAACAGGCGTCAGACCCGAGGCGTTGATCGCTTTAGTGATGTCGGTTACGGTAGGATAGCCCGTGTACGTAGGCAAGTACGGCAGGTATTGAGGTTCGGTGGGTTTCGAAGCTTCGTCTAGCTTCCGTTTCTTCTTCTGTCGATCAGCCTTTTCGGTATCATGCCAGCTCCTTGCGCTGATCCAACGCTCTATCCAGACGCCCAAACTGTGTATAAAGTCGGCGTCCAAAATCCCATCAGTAAACCACGCGCCGCCGGTAACCTCTTCGCTTGGTTGAAGGCCGGCCAGCATGTAGATCTTGCGTTGCGGATATTTGACATTCCGTACGGACTTGATGTAGTTTTTTGCTTCAAGGGACTTCAAACACCGGTTCATGATCGTTTGGTGCAAATTGGTCCGCGCTTTGATTGTTTTCGTCCAGACACCTTGACGGCCTGTGGAGTGAATAACATTGTAAACCATTCGTTCTTCGGCATTCAGATTCTGGAGCCTAAACGAGGCAAGGCCATTAGTTCTCTTCCGCAGCTCTGGAGATTGTTCGCAAGAGACTCACTTTTCCGCATCCGACTGCTCAACGACTTTCCAGGCAAGCCGATCATCTTTACCATGAAGCATACGAAACAAGCTCTGGTCCACAAGGGACTGAGCGCATTTCATCAGCAGCGCCAGATCATTGTTCGGGATAACGCCCAGGCCCAGAAGGTCATGTTGATAGAATAGGTGGTCTGAAGAGAAGTCTGAGATACATTTGTCGTAAATAGCGGACGCAAGCTCATTTACATCCTTCGCAGCTTTGGCCTTGGGCCCTGCGGACGAGGAGGAGGCCATGTCGTGTGAGCGCGCGACGAGCTGTGAAGAGATCACCGGTGGGGATGCGGATAACTCATAATCGGGTCCCGGCTTTCATTGGGAGTCAAGAAGCCTTCCTGATGGTGCGTAGAGAGTCATTTCAGATGGCTGGAGCTGGTTGTTCAATCTTCGTCGACCATTTTTTTTTTGTGAGGTGGGACAGTCATAAGCTCTTTGGGAGGGGGTACTTGGGCTTTGGTGCCAGCCACTCAGAGAATGAAGTCACTGCCAAAGAGCGGGCTTAAGCTCGAAATTTCCAGAAGCTCAAGACAAACAACCCCATCTTCTCTTCTCCCCTCTCTCTCCTTAGGGACGCCTCTTCTTTTCCACGCCAGGACCCTGCATTCACAGTCTGCTACTTATATATTTTAATTTATCTCCGCAATGGCCGACGCTCTGAAGGCTGAAGGCAACAAGGCATTTGCCGCCAAAGAGTTCGATTTGGCTGTGTGAGTAATCGACGAGGTTGCCCTTCACGCTCCGTTCTGACTGACCGGATGTGAGGCAGTGAGAAGTTCTCGGCGGCTATTGAACTCGATCCCGACAATCATGTCCTGTACTCCAACCGCTCTGGTGCCTATGCTTCGCTGAAGAAATTCGAACAAGCCCTTGAGGATGCCAACAAAACAACCGAATTGAAGGCAGACTGGCCCAAGGGCTGGGGCCGAAAGGGTACCGCTTTGCATGGGCTCGGGGATCTCGGTAGGTCCGCAGTAACTACAATTCTTCAAGCATAAATCTAACCAGGGCCTGTAGTCGGTGCTCACGATGCATTCGAAGAGGCTCTTAAATTGGACCCCGCGAATGCCCAGGCGAAATCCGGGCTTGACGCTGTGAACCGAGCGATTGATGCTGAAGCCAGAGCAGACGGGGTCGCAGGAGACCCGTCAGGCGGTTTAGGTCAAATGTTCAACGATCCACAACTTATTCAGAAGCTGGCAAACAACCCGAAGACGGCACAACTCCTTGCCGACCCATCTTTTATGGCGAAACTACAAAAGGTTGCGCAGAATCCAAATAGTATCGGAGAAGAAATGCGCGATCCACGTTTCCTTCAAGTGATCAGTGTATTGCTGGGAGTCGATTTGCAATTCGGAAACCCCCCTGAAGGTGCGCAGCAGCATGGAGAAGCGGAAGAGGATGTTGCGATGCCAGATGTCAAGCCGCAGAAGGAACCTGAACCGGAGCCTGAACCGGAACCCGAGGATGAAGAAACAATCGCCAAACGCAAGGCAAAGGAAGCAGCAGATGAAGAGAAGAAACTGGGCACCGAAAACTACAAGAAGCGGCAATTCGACGCTGCAATTGAACATTACACCAAAGCCTGGGAATTACACAAGGATATTACATATTTGACCAATCTCAGCGCTGCTCATTTTGAGAAAGGGGATTATCAAGCTTCAATTGAAACTTGCGAAAAGGCCATCACCGAAGGTCGCGAGATGTTGGCGGATTTCAAAATCATTGCAAAGTCAGTTTTCTGCTGTTCGCATTTCCTTTCTTCGAACCATACACTGATTATTTCAAACTAGGGCATTTGGAAGAATTGGTTCATCATATGAAAAGATGGGAGATCTTCCCAAGGCCATCATCAATTACCAAAAGTCTCTTACCGAACACCGCACACCCGATATCCTTACCAAGCTTCGCAACGCAGAAAAGGCCCAAATCAAAGCCGAAAAAGAATCGTACGTCAATCCCGAGGAGGCTGAGAAGGCTCGCGAACTTGGAAATCAAAAGTTTAAAGAAGCGGACTGGCCCGCAGCCGTTGATGCCTACACTGAGATGACGAAGCGCGCTCCTCATGACCCTCGTGGTTATAGCAACCGCGCTGCCGCGTTGATCAAGCTTATGGCGCTGCCCCAGGCCGTCCAGGATTGCGATGAGGCCATTCAGCGTGACCCGAAATTCATTCGAGCATATTTGAGAAAGGCACAGGCACTGTTCGCTATGAAAGAGTATAACCGGTGTCTCGATGTGTGTGCTGAAGCTGCGGAGCATGATGAGAGCGGAGCCAACGCACGCGAAATCGACCAGCAACAGCAAAAGGCATTGGAAGCTCAGTTCAGCTCACGGGCGGGTGAGACCGAAGCCGAAACTGCTGAGAGAATTCAGCGCGACCCCGAGGTACGTGTCCATCTTTTCCCCTTTTGAAGTGGGATATCCGGTTTTGCTGACTGTGAATTTAGATCATGGCTATTGTTCAAGACCCCGTTATGCAGAGCATTCTTCAACAAGCGAAGAGCGACCCCGCTGCGCTGCAGGAGCATATGAAGAATGCCACGGTGAGGATGAAGATTCAGAAACTGATGGCAGCTGGTGTGATCAGGCTTGGACGGTAACTGAGCGGAGTGTTTGCGAAAAAAAAAAGAGAAAAGCAAACCAGTTGAACGTGATGACAAGGAATAGGTCAAGGGCAACAATCGCCGCAGCTCTCACTAATTATGGCAGATGGGATTCTCAAAGATTAGCAAGCCTTCAATCCAGTTCAAATGCAACTTTGCCTTTCTTCATTCGAATTGGCGAAATCCGGCACTGAACGCCGACCACTTCAATCTCAATCTGTAGGTACAGGTATTAGTATGCAGATGCGAGGACATACCTGGCCTTCTCCGTCGACGGTCACCGCAAATAATCCACAATTATCCTCATCTTTTGAATGAATAGGGTTTTGTAGCTAGAGCAGTAAACAGATCGAAATCATACTCCGTATTCCTCTGCCATTGTTATTAGTGTTGAAAATGTATGTAGTGTGCTCTGTATTTTGATCATATTCGAGGTCTTTTGTACCCTGGGGTCAACATTGACCTGCGGCCCTGCGGGCACCGTACTTGAAGCTCGTTGTAACCTCGGCTGGGAGAGCCAAGATGCGTTCTTGCGTGGTTCAGAGAATCACAGTGACCTTGGACGCAATATTACCAGGTTTCCCGGGCGCAAGGATAAATGCTTCATTGTTCCTGAGGACAAAGCCTCGAGCCCTTAGAGATTTATTAGTTGCTCAACCAAGAGCAACTAATTATGCAAGTGGAAAAGTTGCCTGACAGTTGTCAACAGAACTCAGGCTATTGTGGCATCTCTCCTCCGTCCTTGATCGGAACTGACCGCACTTTGGATTGCATATCGCCACACCTCCGCAACTCGCTGGCTCTTGGCTTTTGAGTGGCTGTTGACATGATGGCCCAGTTTTGCGTTCCCAAGTGCCTGGTTCGTATCTTTGTGTTGCGAATATAATATAGCTGTCGAGTTGATTCAAATGGTTCTGCTTTTGCACAATGATAATAGCGACAATAATGCTGAACAAAGTCCCATCCCGGCGAGAATTTCGGGTGTTTCAAAGCTGAACACTTGTTCCTTGTGCCGACTTGGCCTCTTGGACTTGCAATCTGCACGTCAGGCTGGGCAGCTCAGCCAAGTGGACCTTGAGATCCGATCCACGAAGTTTTTGGAAAACACTGTTTAAAAGAGGGCTGGCCACTTGGAAGGCAAGGAAGCTGCATGGCTCCATCAGATCGAGTTTTTTTCAGCAGCCAAGAAGACCGAGCTGTTGTTCTTAGCGAAGCAAGAATGGCCTCAATACGGAGTAACCAGACAACAAACAAAAGCCGCTCAGATGGCATTGATGACCCCTTTTCTCTATTTATTCGCTTTCTTGCCACAGAGGACCTGTCTCCGCTGCGGGAGCTGGTTCCATGGACTTCGCAGCAAGAAGGTCCCTTGCTGATTTCTGCTCGCCAAATTGCTGGGTTCTTTTTGCGTGTGGAGTCCGCGAGATTGTGGGAAAAGCTAGGAGTGGGCCGAATCCCGGTAGGTTCGATGTTGTCAGACAAGATTGTCGAGTGGCTTGCGCAGTTCACACTCTCGCTGCCGGTGATTTGCCATCTCAGCGAGAAGAATGCACAGCAAATGGAATCTTTCTAACCTCGCTTTTTGCCTCTTTTTGACAGCACATCCGTAATTTACTCGGTACGACGCAAAACAGAACGGGGGGGGCGTGGCTGTGCACCCTGTGTATGTGGCTGGTACCGGTAATCTTACAGAAAGTGGCGCCGGCGATGGGCGACTATTAATCGTTAGCGTATTATGACGAGATGCGGAGTTTCTCTGCAAATGAGTTGCCAGGCAAAGGGGTGAAAAAGGAAAAACAAAAAGGACAGTGAAGGAGAGAGGAGAGGCGCAAAAAGCCATTGATCTGCAGTGACTGTCAATTCAATCGCCATTGTTGAGCAACGGAATCTCCAGCTCTTTCTGAAGCTCTGTGATCTGGTGCATTCACCAACGGCCAATTGTCGTCATCGTGCTCCCTGCCAGCTGCTCATCCGCCTGTTGTCACTGTTCTGGTATTAAAACACCCACCCCAGCGCCTCCTCCCCGCAACGATAACTATTGCAGTGTAACCAACAGCCCATTCTTGCCCACAAAAAGGCACATTGGTGGTTTGCAACTATTGCAAAGCCTTGAAAGCCCCAATTCAGCCCCGTTGCTGTGTTCATCTGCAGGGAACCGCGCTTGAATGGGCCTTTTTGCATGGTGCTGACGTCGAACCACTTCTCACCATCAACGCCATTTGTGAGCCATGGCGCTCGCGACTGAGCACATTGACTCCATAAGGAGTGAATTGAAGCAGGAGGGGGCGATCCAAGCTGCTCAAGATCCCCAGTCCAATGTTTCTCCGGAAGCCGCAGAGAAGGTCCTCGTCGAAGAGAGCAAAAAGGCCGATGTAGCTGCATACCAGTTTGATCCCAATGCGACAACTGAACAAAAGAATGAGCAGGTTAAGATGGTAAATTGATTCCTTTTTTATTCCTTTTTTTTCTCTTTTCAATTTCGCAGGATCTTTTCCTTATGATTAAAAGTTACTTACGATAAGCCGAAAACCCCCCAATAGACCATCCCTACGAACCTCCATCGTGACAAGAAACCACCCCCGGTTGCTGTGACTACCGATATCGTACGTTCCAAGTTTTTCGACATCCAAAGTGGGATATTGACTTATATTCGATCCAGGTTAATGGCTCCACAGACTTAAAGTCACCGACGACGGGGAAAACAGTAGACGGTCCGGTATCGCCTCTACCAAAGGCAGGCGCCGAACTCTCAGACGAAGAGCGATGGGCCCGAGATCGAACCGGATGGGCCCCCCGTTTCCACACCCAAGAGGACGAAGTTGACGAGGGAGAGATCCTGCTTGATCACCAAACATTGCTTGAAAGTAAATTGGATGACAATCTGTTCGGAGGTGTGCCAATGCTTCTATCCACGTTCGTGCCTTGAGGCTTCTAGACTAATATTGGCATTCCAATAGATTGGTATCATAATGCGGGCATTATTGTATTTGCCTGTCTTGCGTCCTGGTTCGTGGCTCTTATCGGGGGTGGTCTAGGATGGGTATTCATCGTCATGGCGACCTGTGGCACATACTATCGAACGTCGATACGGCGTACCCGAAGGAACTTTCGAGATGATATCAATCGCGAGTTGGCCAAGAATCGACTGGAGACAGATACAGAAAGCCTCGAGTGGATTAATAGCTTCCTGGTCAAATTCTGGCCTATATACGCACCAGTAATCGGTGATACGATTATCAATTCGGTCGACCAGGTTCTCAGCACGGCGACGCCCTCATTTTTGGACAGTTTGCGTTTGAAGACCTTCATCCTAGGCACCAAACCTCCGCGACTCGAGCATGTTAAAACTTACCCAAAGACAGAAGTGGATACCGTCCTAATGGATTGGAAATTCAGTTTCACTCCCAACGATACCATGGATTTAACTGCACGCCAGCTTCGCAACAAGATCAACCCTAAAGTGGTGTTGGAGGTACGGATAGGCAAAGGCGTGGTCAGCAAGGGTCTTGACGTGATTGTTGAAGATTTTGCGTTTTCAGGCTTGATGCGTGTTAAATTCAAGCTCCAGATCCCGTTCCCGCATATCGAACGTGTTGACGTATCATTTTTGGGCGAGCCAGAGATTGACTACGTGTGCAAACCACTGGGCGGAGACCTTCTAGGTTTTGATATAAATATCATCCCGGGCTTGGAGTCCTTCATCAAGGATCAGATACATAGCAATCTTGCGCCGATGATGTATGATCCGAATGTTTTCCCCGTCGAAATTGCGAAGATGCTTGCTGGTAATCCAGTAGACCAGGCCGTCGGGGTCGTGGCCGTCACCATTCATGGTGCTCATAACTTGAAGAATACCGACAAGTTCTCTGGCTCTCCTGACCCCTATGCGGTCGTGTCCATCAACAGCCGAAATGCACTTGCCAGAACCAAGACTGTGCATGAAACCTCAAATCCGAGATGGAACGAGACACTGTACATTATCATCACTTCCTTTACGGATTCCCTCACTGTGCAAGTCTACGACTACAATGAAATTCGAAAGGATAAAGAACTTGGCACTGCGACCTTCCCGATGGAATCTCTTGAGGCCGAACCGGAGCACGAAAATATATCACTCGACATCATGTCTAGTGGACGCCCACGGGGCAACTTGCAAATGGACGTTAGATTCTTCCCGGTTATGGCAGGTGGAAAAAACCCCGAGACCGGAGTGGAAGAGCCACCACCGGAACTGAACACAGGTATTGCAAAGATTACAATTGAACAGGCTAAGGATCTTGACGGCACCAAGAGTCTTGTGGGACAATTAAACCCCTACGGGGTTTTACTTCTGAATGGCAAAGAAATCCATATCACCAAGAAGCTCAAACGCACAAACAATCCGATTTTTACAAATCCATCCAAAGAGGTCCTTATCACTGATCGAAAATCTGCCCGTCTCGGCTTGATCATCAAAGATGACCGTGACCTCGTCGCTGACCCAGTCATGGGAACCTACCAAATCAAACTCAATGATATGCTGAAAATGATGGAAAAGGGGCGCGAATGGTTCAATCTTAACGGTGCTAAAACGGGCCGCGCTAAGCTAAAAGTTGAATGGAAGCCTGTTGCTCTTAGAGGAGTGGTTGGAAGCGGTGGCTATGTGACGCCGATCGGAGTTATGCGAATCCATCTTCAAGGCGCTAGGGATCTCAGGAATGTGGAAACCATGGGGCAAATCCGACCCTTATGTCAAAGTTCTTCTTTCGGGAGTGGAAAAAGGGCGGACCGTTACTTGGAAAAACAATTTGAACCCGGATTGGGACGAGGTAGTATACGTGCCTATGCATTCTCCGCGGGAAAAGATCATGCTTGAAGTCATGGACGAAGAATCCATTGGCAAGGACCGACCTCTGGGATCGTTGGAACTGTCTGCGGCAGATTATATTCACGAAGGGGAGGACGGTCAATATGAGGTTGACGATGAGAAACAACTGCTGTCAACCGGCCTCCGTTTAGAAGGACGTGGCCACCCCAAGGGCGTCCTCAACTACACAGTTGCTTTCTACCCGACACTCAACGTAGCCGATCCTGAAGAGGAAGAGGAAGAAGCCAAGACCAAACAAGCTATGGAAGGCCAAGTCGCTTTGGAGTCAAGAAAGAGTATCGAAAGTACACGTTCTGCCAACACGGATTCTCTTCAAGCAAACATGGAACCTAAAGCAAACGGCCGGACAAGTACTGACACAAGTTTGTCGAAACCTCTATCCAACGGTGAAACAGTGGTAGAATCGCCAATCGAAAAAACCGTTCCCAAGATCCATATCACTCCCGAAGATGTATCTCAATATGGTATGTCGCATCGGGTTCAATACTCTGCTTTGATCCAGTGAACTAACAGACCCTCAAAACAGAATCCGGCTTGATTGTCTTTAAAATCATCGAAGGCCACCTATCACACAATGACGTTCAACTCGAAGTTTTGATGGATGACTATGTGTTCCCTTGTTACACATCTGCTAAGGCGCGCTCGAAACATACAGTATTCAACGACGGTAAGGAAGGCCAATTTGTGAATCGAAAATCCCGCTAACAGATGGTCTAGTTGGGGATGCGTTTGTTCGCGAACTTGAGTTCTCGAAGATGACCCTTCGCTTAGTTGAGAAGACTGACAAAAAGGGCGACGATGATCATGATCATGCTATTGCAAAACTGAGCGGCCCAACGCTTACGACACTTCAGCAATGTTTGGTACGGTGACTTTTAAAATTATGCGGGATTGTGCAGCTAACTGTGGATTAGTATAAACCCACGGAGTTAACGTTGAGATCCAGCGATGGCGCTGTCAGCAAGGTTAAAGTGAGCCTCAAGTATATACCAGTGATGATGAAACTGGATCCTTCAGAGAGCATTAGCAACATGGGGAATCTGCGTGTCGATGTCCTTGATGCAGCAGACCTCCCATCGGCAGATCGAAATGGCTACAGTGACCCGTACTGTAAATTCAAACTTAACGGGAAGGAAGTCTTCAAAACAAAGGTGCAAAAGAAGACATTGCATCCCGCGTGGAATGAATGGTTCGAATGTGCTATCTCGTCCAGAATTGCGGCAGATTTCAAGGTTGAAGTCTATGACTGGGATTTTGGAGAAAAGGCAGACTACCTAGGTGGTGCTACGATCGCCTTGGACCAACTTGAAGCTTTCCGGTCGCAAGAAGTATCGATTCCCCTGGATGGCAAATCGGGTGCCATCCGATTGAAGCTTCTTTTCAAGTCGGATTATATCATACGTTCTCGGCAAGGTTCGTCGACCTTTTCGGGTACTTTCGCAACCCCTGGAAAGATCGTTGGCGCTCCCGTTAAAACAGTTGGTTTAATCGGCGGCGGAGTGGTGAAGGGCGCTTCCTTCTTGAAGCATGGTCTTTTACGCGTTCGGCACAGCAGCAAGGACGATCCCGATGCTTCTTCCCCAGAAATTTCAGCTCCAAGCAACGGGGTGCCCAATGTCGAAGTTACCCCAACGCCTCATCAGACTCCAGCGCTTGTTGAAAGCTCTCCGCCACCCTCAGCAGCAGCATCTCCTCAGGTCCATTCCCGTTCTCGAAGCACCGCCTCACAAGTTGGAGAAAGACTTGGGTTCGGGGGATCCGGCGTGAAAGGAGAGACTGGATCGGCAACCTTTACGATCGTTTCTGCTACTGGGTATCCACCATCCACCAATGTCCGTGTCACTGTGAAGCAGTCAACCTCGAGGGGATGGAAAGAAATCCACAAGTCGAAAGCTCACAAGGTTTCCTCCTCTGGTTCTTCAACGCCGTCCAGTGGAGGATGCGTTGTCACGTTTGACCAAGGGCATGAAACTTTTAGAGTGAAGGACGTAGCCGCAGATGTTCAGTTCCAGATTCAAGTCAAAGACCACGCCACATTCGGCTCGGACCAGGTTCTCGGCGAAGCGATAGTGTGCTTTATCGATGACCAGGGCTCAGGTGTTGGAAAGGAGCGCAG